CCCCCCAATAAAATCTGCAATATTCAGATGTTTTCTAAAAGAAACTTTTTTACATAGCCTAGAAAGATTCAGTCAACAGTAGCATTTTTTCACACAGTACAGAAGCATGGAGAATATTAATGTCTTTACACTTTCTGATTTAATCCCAATCTCTAGTTAATTTCATCTTCAGGAAACTATTTTTAGTTTAGTACAATTATCTTATAAATTGTGATTGTATAAAAAAAAAAACCAGAAACTTTCAGGTAACACATGTCTGACAGTCTATTAGCTCACTGTCAACTTGATATAGACTTCAAATATGTAATGCCTGTTTTATTTTTACTAGGATTCTAAGATTTACAAAACAGAGCCTAGTATAAAGCATATGGAACAGCTGGAGTTTGACAGCCTTAAGGTTCATTTGAAAAGTGACAGGTGATGAGGCAAACAGTGAAAAGATCCATTCCTGACCTAACACTATTGTGTGATGAGTGATGCTGTTCACCATAACCTTTTCCTCCTCCTCCTCCTTTTTTCTCCCTCTTTCTTTTCTTTTTCACCATCATTAGGGATGACAAACAGTTAGCTAGTTCTATTACTTAACTTTTAAAATATGTTCTTTTCTACAACAAATCATTGCTTAATCCTAATGGTGGTCCAAAGGAAAACCATCTAAATATTATTCATATCATAAAACCAAGATTTTCTTAGGTCCCACCACTCTTATTTTAGTAGCATCACCTTGGGAAGAGAATATATTTATGGCTGCTTTTGTCATACAATTAGGAATCAGTGTTATAATCTATAGCTATCCAGAGCTGTGCCAGAAAAGTTATTGAGCCAAGCACTACAATTAAGGAACAATTGTTGTTTAACTTTTGCTTTGACATTTGTACTTAATCCTCTTCATGTTTAGTTTCCAAGACAGCTAGAGGAAGTGCTACATGATTGTTATAATCCAACAATATGCTGACTCCCTTCCTTGAAAAATAAAGGACATGTACTCTCATCTGTCTTCTTTCTTTAAAACATTTTTGTGTGCATCTTTGGTTTTACATTACCTCCTAGCAGAAAGAATATTTTACTTACATGAATATAGAAAATAAACAGAACCCTAACATTTGGTAGCTTGTAGATTTGTGAAATTGACTAGAGAATAGACAAATCACTCAAGAAAGGAGATCTCCCTCCATCCCACCTCCAATATCCCTAAAAAATTGATAGGCATAAAAATATTTTCTTCAAATGTTTCATATCAAATATGCAGAACTGAAGGAATCATGCTTGAAATTATGCATATTTGTAGACTTAGATTGAAAACTGGCCTAAAATAGGTAAAGCAATACCAGATGATAAAAAGATTTTCAGTAAAAATATATGGCCTTAATATCACCTATTTCTTTCACAGTTGCAAGATATGTGACTCATGTTCGCATATTTGGATGAATGGCAAGTTGGAGTACTCACATTCCAGAAAATGAATCTGAATTTCTTGGCATCTATAGAACCAAATAATTTGGGACCCCAGAACTCCATCACTTCATAATTCTTTTAAAATACAGCATTTCAGTTATGACTTTTAATGTGAAAAAAGAGCTAAACATATAACTTAAATATTTTCAGGATTCTGATCATTTTTGTTCAATACATGTTTCTTCCATAGAATGGAATACAAAGATAATGCCTTCTGTTTGAATTTATGTTTATCCTTATGATAGAGCTGGTATCCTTAATTTAAGATTTTAACTGCAATCCTATCAACTCTGACTTAAAAATTGGTTCAAGAGAACTCAGTGAGCTTATATTAAAAAAAGGAGTGCATAAACTGATGGCATGAAAATGTTCTATTTGTATAAAGTCAGGTATATGGGAAAAGAATTAACCACTCAGTGATTGGTAGCATCAAGGAACCAATGTAATCAGCATTACATTTTGGTTTACTGAAAACTTGGAACAAACATCTGAACCTGGTACTCAAGTAAATGGCTGAACTTCCACCTGGGATTCGTTTTATCACTTCGTTTACAAAAGATCAATGGTAAGTTGTGGTCTATTATTACTTGAAAAGGAATCTGGATATGATTTCCTATTTAACAAATCTGTAGGCAGATAGAAAGTAAAGAATTGTTCAGAATATCTATTGTTAAAATGTGTATTTGTTTTCTCTGTGTTAATTCTTATGGTTGTAATAATATAGAGCAGATCTATTCTAACAACTGTTGTAGTATAATTGTTGGGCATGATCCACAAATGTGTTTTGTTGAGAACAGAACTATAGAGTTCAAGTACGTATGAGATTGTCAGTTAACTACGTAGAAAGTGGTATAATCTTTATTGACTTGATATGCAAAACACATATGAAGTTTTTCATATCCTAGAGATTAGATAAGGTTTGTAACTAGGCAATCAATATCCTGAAAAATCACAGCCATTTGTTGAAAAATTGCCCATTTTACCTGTAATATAGATATCACACTCCTTGGCCATGAATCAGTTTTCAGAATACCTCTAATATTTTTCTGTCTGGTCCAACAGTGTTTATGCCTGATACATAATTTCTGAGGCCTGCCAAAGCTTAAATTATTGAATTATTAATCTTGGGGAAATTCTACTCATGAAATATGTTTTTATGTAACTTCCTTCTTACTTTTGGAAAATTACTTAACTGATTTTACCTACATTTCTCAGATTGTTTAACTAATTAGTTGTGTACAGAGAAAAATGTGGATATAATAGAACAATCTAAAATAATTCCTAATATATTTGTGCCAAATAAAATATCTGCAAAGCATGAAATGTTTGTTTTGTTACAGGTATAAGACTTTCACATTTGTCTTGACTTTCATGCTGTACGTTAGTTTTCATTTATCAAGGAAGCCAATCAGTATAGTTAAGGTAAGCAACAAGGAAGTATGTTTTTTTCTATATCCTGATGATGTCAAACCAGGAAGTATATCTTCCCTAAAACTAAAACTGCAAATTACAGAGCAGTAAATCTTTAAAAATTTTGGATGACAATTACAACTAGACAGATGTACAGTAATAAGCTAAATAAAAATATTCATAAAAACTATTATGTGGTTAACATTCTACAAAGATGCTATATCAAAAGATATGTAAAGCTTGTGAATATGTCTTAAAAGGGCTTTATTTTACTTGATATTACATGTTTGAAATATTATAAATGTACATTGGGATGTTTGTAAGGATGCAGATATATTGTGATGAATTTATCTGGCAAATTATATTGGATAGTCTCTTAAAAGCTGTCCAGTTCTTTTTCTGCTTTTCATTTCACTTTTCATGTGGCTAATTAGGCATATCAAGTTTGTGATAAAAATAAAAGTTATCATCTAGCTGAATTAATCTTATCAAGATTTAAAATAATAGAGGAAGATAACTCATTCATTCATTCATTCATTCAATTTATATGGCCACTCATCTCAAACAAGTGACTCTGGGCAGTGAACAATCATAAAAATAAAAAATAAAAAAGTAAATATATGCAGCCAAGAAAAAATATAATCCATAGAAATTAACATAATCAGGAAATGGGGTCTTTAACTTTAAATTTAATTTTATAATAAGTAATGTGCCAGATAAATTTGAAACTGAATAATGCATGTTATTTAAAACTTGAAAGATTGAATTGGCCTTATCAAGTTTTGAAGTAATACAGTATAAAATAACTTATTTAACTTCAATTCAAATATATTTACCGGCGTGTCTGATAATTTGTTCCAGTAAGGTAAAGATTCAACAAAACAAAATATTCAGTAGAATTTCCCTTCTCTTCCACTCTAATTTAGGGAGAACTGCATAAACACTGCACAACTCTTCAAATTAGTGAGAGGGATGCCTATGAAGAACATGCCATCCACATTCCATCTTTTAAAACATTACATAATGATTCTCGCTGTGGATGGGAACCTTTTGGTGAGTAGTAGGAAGGATGGAAGGCTGAATTAACTTTGAGTAGCTGAGAATCAAACTGCTGGCGGTCGGCAGAATTAGCCTGCAATACTGCATTCTAACCAGTGCGCCACCACAGCTCTTATGTGCCTTGGGTACAATCCCAAAACAATTGGAGCACCGCTTGAACACCATCAGAATTGATAAATTCACCATCAGTGAATTGCAAAAGGTAGTTCTACTTGGAACAGCTTACATCCTGCGATGATATCTGTAACACCTTCAAACATCCATATCTGCCTATCCAAGATCCTTGAGAAAGGACCCAAAAGGCAGACAAACATGCCAAATCCTGTCTGGACATCTGGTTCACTGTAACAAACTATAATAATAGAACACCATTGGAATTGTCAAAAATCAATCAGTTGCTACAGACAACTTTATTTAAACAATACCTTTAACACCATCAAACAAAAACATCTACCTAATCCCAGGTACATGGAGAGGACTCAGTAGGTGCATAAAAAGGCCAAATCCAGTCTAAGCATCTGTCTGACTGTACAATCAACCATAATAATTAGAAAAGATTAACAAACAAATAATTGATATAAAACACAGTTTCAAATAGGACAATTGGAAAAGTGTATAGATTTTTGTCCATCAATTTTATTTCTAAATGTGTCTTACCTGAAGTTTTTAATCTTATAAGAAGAAAATACCTTTTGAAGTAAGTCAGGAATATTAAGAAGTTTATACTGCATCCAGTTTTGGTCACCACAATGTAAAAAAGATGTTGAGACTCTAGAAAGAGTACAGAGAAGAGCAACAAAGATGATTAGGAAACTGGAGGCTAAAACATATAAGGAACAGCTTCTGGAATTGGGTATGTCTAGTTTAATGAAGAGAAGGACGAGGGAGGACATGATAGCAGTGTTTCAATATCTCAGGGGCTGCCACAAAGAAGAGGGAGTCAAGCTATTCTCCAAAGCACCTGAAGGCAGAACAAGAAGCAATGGTAATCAAGGAGAGAAGCAACTTAGAACTAAGGAGAAACTTCCTGACAGTTAGAACAATTAACCAGTAGAACAATCTGCCTCCAGAAGCGGTGAATGCTCCAACACTGGAAGTTTTTAAGAAGAGACTGGACAGCCATTTGTCTGAAATGACATAGGGTTTCCTGCCTGAGCAGGGGGTTGTAATGTGAAAGAGCAAGCTATATTGCCTACTTTATTTATTTTAATTGATTTTTGTTATTTGAACTGAATCTTGTAAAGATTAGTGATATAGAAGTTTAAAATTAATTACATTCCTTTTTCCTTCCCAGTTCAGTATTAAATGTATTGATAGGCAGCACAAATACTAGCAATGTTATTCACATGACATATTCAAGGGCAAGTGTGAAAGGAAGACATAATGACTGCAACCCTTCATCACATCTCCAGGATTTTGTGGATGGTATTATGCATTCCTTTCCCCCAATGCATTTACTGAATATGAATTGTTATGCAGGATTAGTATTATTTAAACACATTTTAAAAGTTAGATATGAAAGGCTGGTTTGAACTGTGCACAATTTCCATTTTCAGTCCTTTGTATAACGATATCATTATTAAGTTATGTACTTTTATTATACTTTGATCAAGGAGAAAACTAACTTATCTTTAAATTATTAGAAGCCATTTTTATACAGACACCAATTATGAATAGATAATTACTATTTATAAATTGTATTTAAGCTATTCAGTCCCTTGAACTGCTACATATAAATGTGTGTATCTTCCTAGATAAAAGCAACTACAAGCAGTTATTAGGAGCCCTGGATTATTCATTTCTATGTGCTTATGCTGTCGGAATGTATCTGAGGTACATTTTCTTATTCTTTACCTTGCTTCATGGGTTCAGTGCGTCAGTATGGAATATTATGCTACCTTTGATCTTGGTCAGAATTTTGCTTAGGGGTTTCTGGGAAGCAAAGAGAATATTACTGAATCAGAAATGTTGGAAGAACCAAATCAAAACATGAAATATTTCCTATTGTAATTAAAGTTGAAAGGAACATGGCTTCATATAATCTAATGAATTCAAGTGTGTTTTGGATGAGATTCAATTCTCTGCAAAACCCCAAAATGTTTTAGATGCCCTTGATTCTTACTCTTACTGCTAAGCTATAGAGTTCCACTTTGTAAATGTAAGAAGACTATTTGGGCTGAATAAAGAAATACATTTTAGGCCACTTTTACATCTACGTGTATAAAATAGAGTCCACCAAAAAGTATTTATTTGTGCCACTTGGAATCCTATGCTTTAATGACTTAAAATAATTACCATCCTGTTATTTGCTTTTCACTGAGGTTCATCAAGGCATCTTTGTAATGGTAGTGATTCAACAAGCTATCTTTTGGTATCATAGATATGTTGGACCCGAATATCCTGGAGACATTTTTAATAATCTTAGAAAAAATATTCTTGAATTTAAATTTGAAATCTATATTTTGAGGATTTTAATAATTTGTAAGGTTTGGTTTTCAGAGAGCTATGATTATGATTAGTTTTAGTTCAATATGCATTCACAATTCATCTTCTTTTTAACCTTTATTTAAAGTGGCATAATAGGGGAGTGTTTGCCTATCCGATACTATCTCAGTGGTGGGATGCTTGCCAGTGGATTCTTCACTGCATTATTTGGAATTGGCTATTTCTGTAACATACATAATTTGTGGTTCTACATCATTGCTCAGGTAAGCATGCCTAGGTTATTTTTTCCATACCTCTCAAATGCAGCCTAAGAATATAAATGCATCTATGCTGCAGCATTTTCTTGTTATGTTCCCCAGCCATAGTTTGGGGGCATTTTAGTGTTATTACTACATAACTATTGTGGCTAGTAACTATTGATTACATGGTCTTATACTGTATGGTGCATCTAATTCTTTTTTTCAACAATTTTATTTTATTCAAAAAATTAAAATCCAAAAGAAAAAAAATTGAACAAAGACAAAACAAAGCTAAACAAAAACGTTGAAAATAATGTGAATTTTTAAAAAAGAACCAAAACACATATTGTCCCTTCTACTTGAACATTGACAAATCTATTGCAACAATAATAGCCTTCCCCCTCCTTGCAGAGCAGGTCCACGCTTTTTTGAAGTACATTGACCAAACCAGTGTATATCATGACAAGATGTGATCATTTTTTAAGATTGTATAAAGGTGTTATATTAGATCTCTCCAGTTCATTTCTTAGTGATTCTTGCTTTTATTGAATATTCTGCATAGCGAAAGTATGGTGTGTAAAAGCTACCGGGGAAAATCTCTTCTGTTCTTTGATAGAAACATTTATATATATTATTCTTTTCTTTGATAGAAGTGTTTCTATTATTATTTGATAATAATAAAACCCATTCCTTCAAACCTTAACTGTTTTGTAATTAGTCTGAGAATTTATGCAGTGGTATGTCCTGAGACACTTAAAACTATCTTTTTTTCCCTCTGAGGATAAATTTTATAATCCATTTTTATATGTTTTACAGCCCAAACAGTTCTAGCAACAGTCTAGACTACTATTGATTAAAAGCAGTTGATTGTTAGGAAGTAGAATTATTCAAACGAATTTCTAAATCTGGCTTTGAAAGCCGGATCTTTCATTGAAAGTAGCTGGATTTTGCATTGAAACAAAAGACACATATGTTGTACTATGTATTTTGTAGCAGTTTATTTCCAAAACAATATAGAAATATTTAAAAAAGCAAATGTTGCCTTCAACTCTTACTCTTCCAAAGTACACATTTCCTAATGAGAAATATAAATCTTTGGTAAAGCAGAAGATGCCTGGTATAGTCTAAAAGTTGTTGCATTTTCTGTCAGTTCTGCTATTTAATAACAGAGAGGATTGTTATATGCTTCAGAACTAAGTAATGCTTGATGATTTATTCTCTTCACAGGTCATGCATAAATCAATACTCCTTTCACTTTTATTGCTTTTGCACCTTTGGCACTGCAACTCCTCCAATTAAATAGTTGGAGAATAAAGATATCACTTAGTTAGTACATGCCCTTCTGTTGCACAGCAATTACTCCATATGTTTTAAAGCAACTCAGAGAGGTCAAATTATAATGGCTAATTTGATATAGTACTGACAGAAAAGAGTAGTAAAACTATGAGACCTGAAGCCTGGCTGAATTATTGTGTTAATGAATAATCATAATATAATTTTTCTGATATGTATACCATAAATTTAAATATTATATTTAATATTAGCTTATTATACTGTATATTATAGCTATGAAATATTTTGCTGCAGGATAACCTTTGCCATTAAAAACTTTTCAGGTAGCTAATGGAATGGTACAAACTACTGGCTGGCCCAGTGTGGTCACCTGCATTGGCAACTGGTTTGGAAAAGGAAGGTAAATTCTCTATTTTCTCTCTCTGGGTAGAGGGGAGAAATCTTTTGGTAAAGGTCAAATAATTAATTCTAATAAAAAAAATGCTTCATCACACAGGTAAACTCATATATTATAAATGTTGTGTTTTAACCATAGAATTGTGAAATGAATTATTCATTATATATATGAATGAAATGTCCAACACGTTGGCTGTCCTAATGAACAACTGCAACCCTGGGCAATGGATAATAAGCAAACAACAGAATGAGCAGATAGTAAACCAGTATGCTTAAAAGCATAAACAGAAATTAGTAGGCAATCAGAAACTCAAACTTACTTTACATCAACCAACTTGGCCCCAATTTGTTTAGTATTGTCCTGAAAACTAACGAGATTGGGTCCAACTAGATTAGGAAATGGGTGTGTGTGAGAGAGAGATTGTTCCAGAGGGCAGATGCTACAGTGAAAATGGAAGGGTTTTC